AAAATACATATAAAAATATTAATTATATAGAAGATTGCCGCCTTAAGTCACGCCTTACAAACGCCATGTCTCGCCAAGGCTCGAAAAAGCTTGAGGCTTGACATTGCCGCCAAGTCACGCCTTACGTTATTTAGAACCTTGATATATATACCATCACAAAATTTAAAAAATAATACATGATTCATCACACTATACAAAAATTCACAAGAAAACAAATACATATGAAAGTATAAACGAACAAAATAATTTATTGGCTGTATGTTACATCTTAAAAGAACCACCTAATTCTACCCTTTAGGTTATCCGGAATAAATATCAAGGATACATCTGTGGTCTACTTGATAACAACCACTATCCGTAAACACCATCGTGACAGTTAGTGGTTGGTAGTGGTTAGTTGTTGTCGTGGTCATTTGTGATGCGAAAGACGAACCATAACGTCCAACTAGTTTATTTCTCTCTATTTCTCTTTGACTCTCTCTACATTTTAATTAATTAAAAATATATAATTTTTATTTAAATAATAAAAAACAAGAGATGTAATGATGTGGAATGGTGAGTATACCTAGAGATGAAAGTGGGTCCAAACCCGTCTCAGATGGACTCGAACCCGAAAAACCCGGAAACTAGTTAACATGATTTTGTAGTACCGGACCGATATATAGGAACCGATTCCGATTCGGTTTCGAGCAAAGTGAGTCTAGAACCGGAAAATCCGAAAATGTCAAAGTGGGTTGGGTGAAACCGAGCAAAGTGGGTTTAGAACCGAAAAACCCGAGAAAACCAGAATTTTTTGATAATTAGTTAGTGGGTTGAACTTTAAAAATTTCTAGCTTTGGTATCAAGACTTCGGAGGATTGTAAGTCATTGAATTTCAAGCCAAAAATATCAAAATTATAGTTTAAAACCATGTACAAACTCTAATATACACGTTGAAAAATATCGCATGTTAATCCGACTTCAAATGAATTAGATATACATGTTCTAAATTTTCACAAAAAAAAATGAAAATTTTCAGCTTTGATATCCTGATTTTGGGGGACTGTAGGTCAATGAATATGAAACCAAAAATAACAAAATTATAGTCTAAAATTATGTACAAACTCTAAACTATACGTTAGGAAAAAACCCCATGCTAATCTGACTTCATACAAATTAGAGATGCATGTTTTAAAATTTTCACAAAATACAAAAAAAAAAAAAAAAAAAAAAAAAAAAAAAAAAATTGAAAAATCAAAAATTTTCAGATTTGATATCCTGAATTTGGGGGACCGTAATTCAATGAATATGAAACCAAAAATGACACAATTATAGTCTGAAACATTGTACAAACTCTAAATTACACTCTGGTAAAAACCGCATACCCATCCGACTTCAAACGAATGTGATATGCATATTTTAAACTTTTACAGAAATCGATTTTGTCCCCTAAAACCGGTTTTGGTTCTAAACATTGGTTCCAGTTTTTAAGCCCGATTTACGCTGACCTAAAGAACCCAAACCCGAAACTCGAACCGGTTCTACATATTCCGGTTCTAATGGTTCTGCTTCCGATTTTCCGGTTATAAATCTCATTCCTAGTTATGTCAACCTTTAGTGCAGGGGCAGATCCAATGTAGAGTATTGGGTAGCTCATGATGCCCCTCAATTTTTTTCGGTGGTTTAATTTTTTTAGAAATAAATTCATTTTATGTAGTGTATATATACGCCATTCACTTATAAACACAAACAAACAACTGGTCTGCTGGTTAAGGCATTGACTTATTGAAGCAAATGTCTCAGGATCGATTCTCACTCCTTTACTTATTTTTTGTTTACCTTTGTTTTATTTTCCAACTATTCTATCCCACATCGTCAAACACATATAAACTCAACCATTTTCGTCTATAGTATAAACTTGTTATCCTCATGTTTTCATTTGATATCTACTTTGAGTCCTACATCGATTCAAGTATCAAAAGATACTTCAACTTCATGTTTATATGACAATACTTGAGGTTAACTAAGGATTCAATTAAGGTTTGAGTTTAAAATCAAAACCAAATCAGGGAAACCCAAGATACAAACCGAAAACCAAAAACATCGAACCGATGGGTTTGGGTTCGGTTCTGTTTTAAAAAGTTTCAAAACCGAGGTTGTCGGTTTTGGGTTCGGTTTTAGGTCAAAACCGACCCAACCTAGCCCATGCTCAGCCGTTACGATGATACCCCAGAAATTTTTTAGGAACACCCTTTACTTTGACACTGAGTCGGTCATTGCTTTGGTGGTTGCATTTGATTATGATGTGACATTGATGCGACATCCTCCATATTTGTGGTTAGTGGTAAGTCTTCCTTCATGACTTTACAAGTTTGAGATCCTTCTTTACAAGTTTGAACTTCTATATTAAACTTTACAAGCTTTGGTTAATATATAAAAGTTTGGAATGCTCATAGTTATTTCATTAAAGAAGAAAACTTTAACTACAAATATCAAGAAAATCATATATCCGATCTTAACCTTCATCTTTCAATTATAACATACGGCTTAAGCATACATAAGATCATCTAATTCAAAACTAAATCTCCCATGAACATGAAGTACAAGCTCGTATCCAAATTATGGTTATGCAGGATGAGTTAATACGATACATGGCTTACTTGATCAACCTTGTGGAATTTACAAGGCTTACTTGATCGACCTTGTGGAGTTCTAAATGCACAAACTATACACCCAAAAATACAGATCTTGAATTTTCAACGAGTATTATATATAAAGAAAATTACACAATCATATGTACATGATATATATCTTTTTTTCTGTTTTTGGTGGTTCTATTTCTTGAAAATAAAAAATAAAACCCTCATATCACAAAACCACTCAACTCTCCATAACTTCAGAACCTCTCATGATTCTAATTCTTCTACAAGAAGTAAGAAACATATCCCATGGTACATCTCCAACAAGCATCCAATCTCCATCTTTGTCTTCATATGTAGGTGCATGTTCAGACTTGTACCCTTCCCTCTCAGAGTACAACCCTATAATGCACTTAAACATATCTTGCAATCCTTTCGTGAGTTCTCCATAGCTTTTGTACACTTTTAAGTCAACTTTTCTCAAGTAGGGAGCCCCATCCATGCTTACTTTCACATATATGCCGGAACCAATCTCGGATTCGTATTTTTTCCCTTGAAGTACGTTTTTCCGGTAAGATCTCACCGGCGGCCACCCTACAACTTGTGCCCTGAAAACCATTTAACAGTTTACATAAGTATATGCATCTGAATGTCTTTGTATGTGTATGTGTATGTGTGCGCTTTAGGTGTGGATTTAGTTAAGATTTTGCATCGGTTTTGTAACTTACTTGGATGGTGGGGGAGATCTTGATGAATCATTTTCATCTGAGATACTTGAATCCATTTCCGATGAGCTTCTTTTGTTGGTGTTCACCGTAGATGGTGGTGGTTTTGTCTCCGATAGATCGTCGGTTGTTCCCGGCAATCCTAATCTTAGCTCGGTTGCTTCGAAGTTAATTAGATCCATGTGTCCTGTGTAAATCGACCAAAGATGAAAGTGGAGGTCGGAAAAGTGCTCTTGATTCTTGAATGGAAGAAGATGATTTCCGGCTTGGGAGTTTGAGAGGAAATTGGTTTGTGGATTGGTTTTGTGATTGGAAGATAAGTTATATAACAGATGAGGGCTGTGACATGATTTAGGTGACTTATTCTGTATGTGAATGAATTTCATAACATGAGGAACTCGACGCCCACTCGCATACTCGCCTAACGTTATATTCACTCGCCATTCAATAGAAAAAACTCGAATGGTTTTCCAAAGAGTTTAGAAATCACGCGCGTAAAGAGAGTCGGTGGTTAGTTGTCAACGGAGGAGACAAGGAGTTGGATGATACAGCCATGAGATGTTGGTCAATGACCGGCAGTTTCGGGTAAGCTGTGAATACAACAGGGAACATACCCAAGACAGGCTGTGTGGTCCTCCATACCAACGGCTGTGATGCGTTGTTTCTTTTGCTTTCTGAATATTAAATCCTCAACGTTGGATCACGGACCCATTGAGTGGTGAGAAAACCATGTGATGTAGGCCCGTGTAATGTCGAGGAAGATGGTGACATTGCCCATGTGTCGACTCTGATTGGTGGCACCACGCATGAAAATTGTTCTCTTTTTATTTATTTATTAAATCTAGCAAGTATAAATTATAACAGTCAATTATTTTATGGAATAATCACAGATATATATATATATATATATATATATATATATATATATATATATTTGAAACGGCAGGATAATCACAAATATAAAACGTCAAAGAAGCATCTTATTTTATCATAATAATAATAATAATATGTACTTATTAAAACAGTTTTAGAAACTTAAAATTGGTTAAGATTTGTTGCTATGGTTAGAAATTATGTTCGCAAAATTCGAGAACAGTTTGAAAGATTCTATGTTTTAGCGAAATATCCACATTTGGTTATATATAAAAAAAATGTAGTCTCATGAAGAAATCATAAAATCTTTATTTTCATTATATTTAGTATTTCAAAGTTATTTTGTTTTCTAACAGTGACTACACAAATGTTTCCAATAGAAGTAAGCATTCAACCATAAAAGACATCGTGTGGGTTCAGAGACTTATGGTACACAACTACCATCACCATTTGTGGTTTGATCATTTGGTAAGCAACTATCATCACCATGTATGGTTTAATCACTAATATCTAATGGTACTGACGATCTTGAAACATAATACCATAAACGCGTAGCAAATTACATGGACGTTATTGAGTCGGAGACCAAATGGAAAAGGGAATTAAATGTAGCATCTCATAACTATGAACAAATTTGAAAACAGCTTGATGTTTTTAAAAGTTATAAACTTTGTATAAAAACTTTAGCGGAAAATCCCAAAATAATATAAACATTTTAAAATATCAAAAAATGTATGATTTTTTTTTTTGGGATTTTTAATTTCACTTTTATAAAAAACATAATTTAAAAAAAGACATAAAGCAACTTTCAAATTAGACCAAAGTTATGGGATGTTACACTTAACAGCGGAGTATTAGTTTAAGTAAAATAGATTTAATAGATATTTCTAGACTTAAACCGTATGTAGACGCTTAAGTGATGATCTAGTGACGAGTGGTAGCAATTTAAAACTTTAAGCAACAATTTCTAGCATAACCATGGTCCATGGACCCTAAAATCCGAGTTTTCAAAACTCATTTGATGGTTGGTGTTCATGATGTGGGAGTAGGCAACCTAGGTTGGGTGTTGGGTAGACCTAAACAATAGAACTTGACTTGTGTTTTTGCAGAATGTACAAAATAAGTATGTTATTATGTTAATTGATGTTTTTATGCCTACTGTTTTGTTATGAGTTGTACATCATGTTGACTTTTTTGTAGAAAAATAAGACGATGGGGATTACTTGAATACCATTAGATGTTGAGGATATCACTAATTACTCAGGAGAGTGGGTTTTACAAAGTAAGTGATATTTTTCTAGTGTATTGAGTAATAATCAAATGGCAGCTAAAGTTATAGTGTTATATACTATGCTATTCCAGTGAATACACTCCATGTGTCGAATGACAACTGAAGTTATTGTCACACCTCCAAACCAGACGACAGAAACGTCCGGGGGTAGAGGACTTCTTTTGTAGTATCACAACACATGCATTATAGTAATCAGAGTACAAACAATCATTGTATTTAAAAATTATAAGTATTTACATGTGTTTCATCATTGTATACTGAAACCAAATAGTTATACAAAAGAAGAAGACAAGACACAAATAGCTCCATCTTCTCAAAAGCTCGGGGAGTACCTCTCTACTGGTCCCCTGAGAATACAAGTAATTTGAAAAGAGAGTATCAACATAAAGTTGAGTGAGTGCATAATTATTTATGTTTGAATGAATATTTTCTGTTTCTTGAATATGTAAACTGTTCCAGAAAATCCTATATGTTCTATTGTATATATGAAAGTAGTTTTAATCTCATAAAACCGTTCTGTTTGTAAACCAATGTTTTGTATTTGTAT